TTTTTTAAATGTAATTTGAAAAATTGTCATTTGTGCTGAAATACTGTGTGCAAAAGTTAACTATTATTATTGAACGTTGTCTTACATAAAGGTGTCAACAATCTGAATAATTGTGTTATGTACATTTTTATTTTATTTCATTTTTTTTTTTTCAAAGGCAAGCCAACTACCACAAAAAAATGACACAATGTATCAAATGCATTGCTAATACGTTTGTGTAGTTGTTTTCCCTCCAAAATTATGTCAGTTCCTGAAGGTTGTCACATATTCTACAAAAGACTTAACATTGGATAGGAAACTGAAGGAAACTATAAATTGCCATTTTTCATGTTAGGAGTTCCAACATAACTACTTAAGATATTTAACATTCATTCCATGTTCACTTAATCAACATGGTTTCAGTCTTAAAATTTTGTGAGTTTAATATTTTATCCATTATAGAAACATGAAAATGCACTACACAGCAGGAATGATCCAGGCATTGTATGTGTGCGTTACTGCAGTACCACCTCTTATTCCGAGTTTAAAGACTTCAAGTTCAAGATTTATTTAATAGCGGCTCGCTGTAAGCGAACTCCTTGAAAGATTTACACGGCTTACATTAACACATCAGCAGAAGGCAGAAAACTTCTGTATTTCATCTTAGAGCATCCCGGTCCCATGTATAATGCATGTTGCTTAGGTCCGAGGACTTGTTATATTGCTTTCACAGTTTATTGCTTCTCTGATCGAATACGATTACAGATGCTCCCAGTTTGCATCTGCATCTCCCGGTATGGTGCAGTAATGGAATTATGCCTCCCTCTACACTACATAGAACATGCTCAGTGTCACTTACAGTTACAGCTAGCAGATTTAATTAAGAGACATAAAAGGTATGTTTCATTTCGTTACGCTGAGGATACGGGGTGCAGTATATTCTGCGGCAAGTTTGGGACTTGTAATTGCTCAGGTTAAGCAGAGGGTAATTTTGCACTCCTTGCCAAGTTTGTGTTAAAGTGGCTCATTAAACGAGACAAATGTGCTTTCGGAATGAAAAGTTTGGACGCAGCCCGTTTGATTCCCTAGTTGGTGCATTTGATATGTTCGGAATGGCATACTGCTTTTTATATTACAGTAGCCTATGCAGTGTGAGCATTATGCAAATGTTGGCATAGAATATACTGGGAAGACTTACTAGATTTGCTAAAGTGTGTAGTACACATTTATATTTTTTTCAGACAGCCAAAAGTTAAGCATACTATTTTTGGTAGGCATTAAATTACCAAATAATATACTATATAAACCACTACACTATGCACACTGCACTGGGTACTGTATCCCACAATGCAATGCACACACTCTCACAAATGACCCATAAATAACAGCAACCACATTTTTAATTTTAAGTTTCTTTAATTGTAAAAATACCAAAATGAAAACATTACCAACATTGCTTTATAAACTACCAAAATAAAAACACTGCCAAAATTGCTTTAATAAACTACCAAAATTAAAACATTAAAACCAACAACAACAAAATGTACACAAAATTACATTAAAAATGCTAAATTATAACTGCATGCAACATGCTCAATTTTGCATGCATTGCTTCATACAAATGTTTAAAATTCCTATCAGTGCGTGCCGTAACTGTTTTGCATACTACACAACAGCAGTGTGCAGTACATTAGTATGCCACTCTGACCAGATTCTTCTTAAGTTCGTCTCACTCTGTTGAATCATTTATTAATGGCCATTTATGGCCATGTACTCATCTGAGTCTCTGTCTCATGGTGCTTGTGGATGGATGCACATTTTGACACATCGATGGTAGAAACTACCATCTATCAGACGATTCGGCCTACTGTAATAGATCTCAGTGGCACATTTACATTGAAGTCTGGTGCTTTTCAGAAGGGGGCAGGGAAAGTGATCAAACACATTCAATTAACAAAGGCGAACTCTCATTGTTGGAACTAATGGTCTGGATTCTTGTCAAATATTCATGACTGTCTAACGCTCTGGTAATCTAAGTTGGGAGGACATTTATAAGTAATACGCTTTATAATTAACAACAAAGGCTCTGTGCATTTTTAATTCATTGTCGATCATTGTGGTGATTTGATTTGAAGGTTTATGACTAATCGCTGACATAATCAGTCAAACCCAGCATGTGGTTTGAGTAAGATGGAACTAATGGTCTGGATTCTTGTCAAATATTCATGACTGTCTAACGCTCTGGTAATCTAAGTTGGGAGGACATTTATAAGTAATACGCTTTATAATTAACAACAAAGGCTCTGTGCATTTTTAATTCATTGTCGATCATTGTGTGATTTGATTTGAAGGTTTATGACTAATCGCTGACATAATCAGTCAAATCCAGCATGTGGTTTGAGTAAGAATGTTAATTTTAAATGCATATAGATGATTTTGTCAACATTTAGGACTGCATTAGCATATAGATGAGCTCAATGCTAACAGACATGCAGTAACAGCCATAAAAAGCTTAGTTTGGATCCAAATTTGCTCTAAAACACCTGTAATTTTGCGGTTCAGGTTTGCTTCGGTGAAGTTAAATGTGCAGGTAGATATTTTGCTATAGCCTAAGGAAATCTTGTTATACTTTCATTTTTTTTCTCATTGCATGCTTATATCTCTATCAGAAATCTTTGTTCTTCCTTTTTAGTTCATAAATGAAAGCTTTCCCCTCAGCCCTGGAATCAAATAACATTTTTACCTCTTTTTCCCATTTCCAAAATAGCTTGCATACGGTTTCCTCTTCACTTTGGAGAACCTCCCTAGTAAGCACACAAACATCAACATTGTATGCATATATAACGAGAGTTGAAAAACGGCGTAATCGGAAAAGCTAGCATCATTTTTTTGTGTCTGACATATTTATGGCTACATTTTGCTAGTTTAAATACACATTACTGAAGTTTCAGGTTGACTTTTGAAGAACCTATATATAATTCCAAATGTATTCATAAACTACATACATTCTAAATCATTCACTTAAATATCTGGTGATGTAGTATGTTAGAATACTTACACAGCAAAGCATTTATTGTATAGTATACATTTCACTGGGAGACAGACATTTAGTTGAACTTTAGCTTTGGCTGAAGTTGACATTGTATTAATATTAATAGTATTTTAATATAAATTTAAATTAATTAAAACATTAATATTTTACTACTAATTTTAATTCAGTACTTTAAACAATACTTCATATTGTTTTTCTGCAAAAGGACGCATTCAGTTGATCAAATGTGGCAGTAAAGACATTTGTAATGTTACAAAAAAATGTTTAATTAATGTTTAATGTTTAAAAAAAAAAATCCTGTTCTTTTGAACTATTTGTAAGAACTCTGACAAAAATGCATTATGATTTTCACAAAAAAAAAAAATTTAAGTAGCACAACTGTTTTCAACATTGAGAAAAATAATAAAATGTTTCTTGAGCAGCAAATCGGCATATTAGAATGATTTCTGAAGGATCATGTGATACTGAATACTGGAGTAATGATGCTGACAATTCAGCTTTCCCATCACAGGAATAAATTACACTTCACATAATTTTTTTTACTGTTTTTACCTTTAAAAAATCTTGCAAGACTTTTCACAAATGAGAGCTACCATCTAGACCAACCATCTTTGTCCTGATGCTCTCAGTGGTTGCTTCTGCATTGTGAAAACCTTTACTCACTCTCTTTATTGTTTCAGTCACAGTTTCTCTGAGATTTCCTATGTCAGATCAAAGACCCCTGGACCACTGCACAGCTCACGATTTGAAGCAGAACTTCTGAAGAACTGAAGGTCTGATAAAGGGAATCTCTAAGAGAGGTATTGTATGTAGACCCTTGGTCTAGTTGTGACAGCGCAGCTCTGATAAAATGAAAGGTTCACGCGGTCTTTATCTGTAGCTGTTGCTGAGCGTCCCTCTTTGACACCCGTCCCTCTTTGCCTGACTGCGCATAAGTGGAGGGGAGCAGAGAGAGGGAGGAGAGAAGAGAAAAACAGCAGGAGGAGGGTGAAATCTAGCCAGAATATGTTGAGGAGCCACAGGCTGCGCACAGCACGTTGCTCTGGAGTTTGAAAGGATGAAAGGGGGAAGATTGAGATTATTGCTGCAGAGATTTCGGAGGTGAGGGCAAGTGGAAACTTATTGACTTCTTTGGCGTCAATACTGGGGAGGAGATGAGAATAAAGTGATTTTAATCCACAGGAGGCGCAGGACTGTTACTGTGGAGGAGTGCCGTGCTTTTAATCCTTCAGAAACGAGGTCATTTTCTTATAGATGAACTTACTTTGAAATACTTTACCTTTCAAAACCCACATCGATTTTTGTGGGAAGGAGAGATCTGAGGATTGGATCGGATTTGAGACTTCGGGGCTTCAAAGACATCTTCTGCTGCAATTTTTCTGAGAAAAACATGCATACGTAAACCACATGCAGACTTACTATTCAGTGCAATCTGGAATCATGAACCTCATAGGAGAAGCAAGTCAGCTGCAGTCTCGTGTGTGGCGCTCTGAGGAATAGTGCTGGGAACGAATTCACTTCTGGCATAAAATGAGAAATTTATCACAGCCGATCATTCCTGACCCACTCTTTCAGAGAGCATGTGGCTTATTTCGCCTTCTCCTCTCGCTTTTGAAGCCGTGAGACACTTCTTTGGAAAATAAGAGCCGGTGGTTGTGCTTACAGACCGGGAGAACTGAAATATTTAAGACTCTGACTGTGAACGATGCAATTAACGATTAAAGAAAACCGAAGCGGCTGTGATCAGTATGCATAGGTTGCCTACGTTCACTCAGAGAACTGTGGGAGTGAGTTAAGGCGAGAGGACTAATGACTGACAGCGGAAACAGGTTTGCTGTGAGGTACTACGGAGTACATCCTGTGCATTAGCTTGTTTGCTTCTGGCTGAATTTAGAAACGGCAAGTGTGGCTCATTCTTGATCTTTTACTCTTGCTTCCTCATTATTTCTTCCTCCCATCACGCCTCAGTTCGAGGAACAGGTTGCTCTGCTATTAAGCAGATTTAGATTAACTACTGTTTCCAGGACTGCTGTGCCTTTGGGATGAACAGTTAAGGCAACTCATATGGGTCTGCAAAACTCTTTTTGATTGAACATTCAGCCACCCATCATTTTTATCTGGTCTCTCATAATCAACATGGTCCCACCGCCCCCTTCCAACAAGCCACACGTTTGCCTTTCGTGTGTGCTTATCATGAGTAGCATGGCGCTGCTGGACGCCTACCTTGTGGAGCAGAATCAAGGTCCACGGAAGGTGGGCGTCTGCATCATGGTGATGGTAGGGGACGTGTGTTTCCTCATCGTGCTGCGGTACATTGCGGTATGGGTCGGCGCCGAAGTACGAACTGCTAAACGGGGCTACGCAATGATCCTCTGGTTCTTCTATGTCTTTGTGCTGGAGATCAAGGTATACTTTGTCTACCAGAACTACAAGGCAGAAGGCGAGAGAGCGGACGCTCTTACCTGCAAGGCTTTGACGGTGCTGCTTTCCGTGTTTGTGCCGGGACTTTACGTTACGTTGGCAGCCATCGACCACATGGAATACGTTCGTCCGCTCAAGAAGAGGGAGGAGTTGAGGAGTCGGCTGTTCTGGGTTGTGGTGGATCTTCTCGACATCTTGGACATTCAGGCCAGCCTATGGGAGCCTCAGAGAAAAGGGCTCCCTCTATGGGTGGAGGGCCTTACTTTTTTCTACTGCTACATACTACTTCTGATACTGCCGTGTGTGTCGCTAAGTGAAATTAGCATGCAAGGTGTGAACATTGTGCCGCACAAGATGCTGTTGTATCCCATTCTCAGTTTGGTCGCCATCAATTTTATTACGATTTTTATACGGGGAGGAAATATGGTGTTTTATAGGGACATCCGAGTGTCTGGAATACTCATGGGTAAGAACGTCCTCGCCATTGTCCTGAAAACATGCAGCTTCGTGCAGTACCGGAGACACCTGCAGGAGGCGCCAACACACGCTCTCGCTCCAGAACTACAGAGGGACGCAGTGCCACAAAGTTCTCGAGGGGCAGTGCCAGTCATAATGACCATGCCCGTCACCATGCCAACTCCGCAGGTAGTCATACAAGATCTCACCACACTTCCAGAAGAGCCCGAACTTGAGGAAACATGACAAAAGGGGGAATGAGAAGAGTTTGCACTGAGGATACTTGGACAATGCACAACATGAACTGCTTTGAGATTTTTTGTCCTAAAGTTAATCTGGGTGTACACAGTATGATTTACTACTTTAAGAATGTTTCTTATCAGATTGTATGATGACATTAATGATTGGATACTGACCAGAATGTTCTGCACATAGGCCAGACATTTAGCTGCATTGACAGGGCATTTTAAAGCACCACTTAATCATTTTCTTCAGTATTTATCTTTTATTTCCCTGTAGAAATATCTAAACATCCTTAAAACAAAATAAATGTAGGCTACTTAAAAGGAATTTTTATATTTTGAATATTAATCTTTCCACACTGTTAAATTACTTTAACAGGTTAATGACAAATAAATGTAATTATTAAAACAAGACAAAATATTGATTAAAATATATATTTTTTTTTTCAGTGCAGTCCACATACCATTCTCAGTTTCAGCGCTAATCACAAATTTTGCCTTGAAGATGAAAAAAGACTGTGTGAGTTTCTGACGACAAACAAAAAGTGGCAAAATTCATAGAGTGTGCACCCAGTTTTAGTGAAACAATGTGATTAAAATCGTTGATGAGATGAATTGTTTGTGAAATGAAGACACAAGGCAGCTGTGGATCTGGGGTCCATTTATTTCCAGAAAAAAGTCTTCAATTCTGGAATGTAGTAGTTTATGAACATCAATTAACAAGTGGAATGCCAAGCAAATCACACTTGAAAGAACTCTCAGTGACCCGATGATTGTACAATCACAGACAGCTGCGAATATATCATGTATTTTCGTTTTTCCTGGTGGGTGTTATAAATGTGGTACATCATGTTTTTTTGCAGTAAAATCATCATATTTGTGCAGTCATTTAATAACTATGGTGAAAAGTTGTGTTTTGTAACAACTCATACTATAATTCATTTCTGTTATCTCATTATAATGTGAATGGTTTATATTTGATGGAATTATGCTTCATATATTCTTTGTTTTGATGTTTTATGAGAACCAAATGAATGATATTTTGTTATTAAATCAATGTTTTTGTTGATATCTGACATAGTTTTTTCTCTTTTTTACTGATGCTATGCCACCTCGCAATGCACCTAGCGACCTCCATCATTTGGAATGCCATCATTCTTTGTTCTTTTTGAGCAACAGTCTGCTACAAGCACAAACATCCACGAAGTGGGGCGCAAATCCCAATCATGTTATTCAGTATGATTATTCTCTTCTTAAGGCTCTGAACTCTTGAATCTTGTCAGTTCAACATGATGATAAAAGGCAGCTTGTCTTTTTCTTCTACAAATATAGAATTGGAGGCGGCTCATTTAAATAAAGTTGCCATAATCAATTGCAAATTAAGCAAAGTTTCGTCTTCCACTCTTAAATTAATAGCTGTTGTAAACTCACTCAAAATCTTTGAGGGCTTTAAATCCAAAAATCTTAGCTCAGCCATATGCAGTAGTAGTTTCATGACAACGTACCCAGAGCTACAATTTTAGCATGTTGCTATAGCTATTGTTAGATTAGCACAGTCGGCAAATATAGCACAAAGACCTGTCTCCAAAAAAAAAAAAAATCTCAGTAAATACACCTGACAGCTTCTTATTGCTTCAGTGACACCATATCTACTTCTGTGCCAGATAGAAACACAAACATATAATCGCATATTTTTTTACCCGTCAAGAGTAAAGTAAATCGTTACTAGTTCATCAAAGCAGTCTTTTTCAGTCAGTGTTTATTTAATTTGCCATTTAATTTGTAAGGTGCTCTGTATCTAAATACAGAAATCCTCACACTTGATGAATACACATTTGATGTAGCTACTCGAAAAAATGACATCTTTCACTTCCCCTTGTTCACTTGAGTGAATGGGACTTAGCTCTTTCAAGCTGCAAAAATCACAAAAAAGCACCATAAATGTAGGTCAAATTGTGCGCTATATTTCAAGTCTTCTGAAGTCATATGATAGCTTTGTGTCATGAAATCTGTTTTGAATCTCACACAACACAGTCTGTTTTTATTTTCGGCATACTGCACATTGCCAACTTAGATTACTTGTTTACTAAAATTGCATGCCAGAGTAAAATAAACTATAATAATAGAATTTGATTTTTAAATTGCATTCAAATGAACAACTACCACTGTTTAACTACCGCCCTTATTTTGAAAGAAAAACTTTCACCTTTTTTGGTGCCATTCCAGGAGAATGCAGCAGAGGAGATAAACTGCACACAAACCTGATCGGTTCTTATGAGTATCATCAATGTGGTACATTTTCGAGATCTGACAACTACAGTATGTAGGCTACGCCTCTCACATGACCTCTAGAGGGTGCAAAGGACATTTTGAGAACCACTGGGTCAGGAAAGTTTCTTTGATATGAATATTTGTTAAAAAAGTCAAATCTTTAACTACACTTAAAGTTTAAGCTTAGTTGAAGCTTATTATTTATATCCATATTATTTGACTCCAAGGGCCCAAATGTGCACTACAATATATGAAGACTGCATGATTTTCAAGCTGATCATGATTCACAGGATAAGGATTTTTTAATATATATATATTTTTTTTACATATTTAGATTTTCTGTTGATTTAGCTTATTTTAATCCTTGTTTTGTCTGATCTTGAATCATTTGAAGTTATCTTGAGGTCCCATTTGAAAGTTGGCTGAGGATGAGAACCACTAAGCCAAAGCAGTGACAACAAAAACACTTCACCAGTTAGGTCTAAATCTAAATGTTACAAATAGCAGACTGGCCAAATTGTTTTATAACCAATTGATAGCTGACCACTGACAAACCTATTAAGTAACGACTTGGTGAGGCTGCTTGAGAATACAGCCCTCACGCCACGACGATAATAGCCCAATTACAGAAGCAAAATTGTGTGAATTGTTATTTTGGAGAGAGGGTGGTATTAAACTCGCTGCTATTTGCCAAGAAAATGGAGGCCACTGCTGCACCAAGGGATTATGTGTCAGTCAGTCCTAATGTGGGTAAAAATGAAAAAATGGACTGTAAAGACATGGGGCAGCTGCCAGCAGTGCTCTAGCGCAGCTAACTACTAACCTGCAGCTGATAAATGCATCCGGAGGGAGCCATGAAAGTCAAATCAGAAATAGAGGACAGCATAAAAAAAAAGAAAAGAAATATTCTCTTTGGGCATTCTGGATATGCACATATTAGTGTGATTCTGTGTGGATATAAGAAGTCTCAAGGCAGTGGAGTTCAGGATTTGAGAAAAGTTATCGGTATGCAGATAGATAGCTATAGGAGTGTGCGATATTGACAAAAAAATGATATCTCAATGTTTTGGGGGATTTTTTCAACAACAATAATTAAAAGATATTTTGATTAGTGTGTTTTTATGCTGGCACCTTGGCTGGTTTAAGCCTGTCATGGATAAATAAATATTCCACTAAAACAGCCAGCAGGTGGTGGCAAGTCCATTAATGAGCGAATAATGAGAGATTAATTGAATCACTCATTCAAATCAGTACAGCCGATTCATTTAAAAACAAAGCAAATGGCTGTCTTTATGAATGGATTATTGAACAATTGACTCCTTAAAAACCAGATTCATTCAGGAATGAAACAACGCTGTGTGTTGCTCTGAGACGTGCAAATGTTCTGCGCCGCCTTTGTTTGGAACTATTTTCGTTGGCAAAACAGAAAAAAACCCAGACAATATTATGTCTAAAATGTAACTCACTCAATATTAACTTCTTGTTTTTTTTAACTGTTGTATAAAATGTATATCACATTCACTCACACACACTAATATTCAGAAAAACGGCACTCCTGTGTGATATTACTGAACTATATCATATCCTACAAATATAAAAAAAACAAAAGCCCATACAAGGACATTTTTTGCTTTCATAACTTGAATTATAGGTACATTTTAACTGCATTCTAATAAGATTCATCAGTGAATGCTTTTGGACTCTCAAGACATGCTTGTTTTTATACTCACACACACTCGATCATGTCAGCTTGTATATCGTTAAAACAAAAATGACAATATTTTTGTTGATGATAAATATTGCATACTCCTAGCCAACTAGGTAGATAGATAAAAAATGCCCTGAAATTACTTTACTTTTCAATGACATCACCAAGCCCTCATATTTTTAGCCCCTCCCCTTATACCACTTGTCATAAACACATTTCATAATTTGATTAATTCCCGATTGATAGCATTTGTTTGAAACTCGGCTAATGAGAATTCACTCATAATCCGCGATGGAAACATAGAAAACCTTTAACACACTTCCCCCACTATGATTCAGAGCTGCTGGCACCTGTTGACAGAACCAGTGGGTGGCAATTAAGCTGCATTTGGAAGAACATGGCATTTCAACACACTGCGGCTGCAGTCATATACTGGAACAGCTTCAGCGGCATTTAATTGGACACATCATTATCTGTCGACACCGCATTTGGATTCTTGAATCATACAATTGTGTAGTTTTGTTCCCGCCACTGAACCTACAGGGGGTCTCAGTCCTCTTGTTTTCACTTCAATTAGTCTAACAATGCATTCAGCTGGCCGCTGTGCCACCCCAGTGCCCAGACCGCCACACAAGACCAAAACAAAATGCGTCATCCAGACACTCTGCTTGTTTAATCAAGGATGCCGTCAATCTGTTACTCTGCTTAATTTACCATGACAATTTGGTAATTCAATAACTAACAATTTTCCTCTCTTAAAGTTTCTTATTAGCTCTTCTTAGGTGAGATTGTTTATTTCCCCAGGAATAATGTGGTTAGATAAATGCACCTAAGTGGGTGAATAGTACATAAACTAATATAAAAATGTTAAATATTTCAAAGTAAATTTTGAACAATTCTATATATTTTCATTTGAATAAGTAACCTAGAATGTGTATATTTGCATGTCTGTGCATGTGTAGCTCTGCTATTACGCACACTGTGGTGTTGATAATGTTAGATTTAAAGGGGTCATATGATGTTGCTAAAAAACACATTATTTTCCACATACTGTACATTATTGTTTCTCCTCTATGCCC